GTCCAAGTACTCACAAACAGGGCCACTGACCTGGCTCTGGAGCAGACACTGGTAATCTAGGTCCAAGTTTGCTCGATTATGTTCTGACGCTTCATGTGCTGTCATAGCCAAGGTTTCTCACTTTCTTCGCAAGCTCTTTTAGTCTTGAGAGTTGACAACTGCTTATGGTTGTGTTGGCAGAAAACATGTCAGCTAATCTGACAACCGTCCAACCCCATTTTACTGGTAAGTAGTCAGCGAGTGGCTTTGATGGGGCCATACTATATTTGTGCTTCCTTTTTGAAAACACATTCTCGCTCGAAGGGTTTCTAAACTTTATCCCTGCGCTCATTGATGGAGTTCATCGATGGAGTTGCCAGCGGCACTCTACAGAAGAACAATGTTGTCAAGTTTTTTTTATGAAAAATTAAACATTTTCAAATTGCTATAAGTTTGGTTAGGGCCGGGTTCCACTGCGGCTCCGCAGCTCCGCTGCTCCACGGTACTTGGCTGCATGCAGCAGAGCGGCGTGGTTCCAGTGACACTCGCCATTCACGATACCGCGATCGTGCTCGACGTTTTTTGATGACATTTAGCCTGCCTGCGCACACGTGAAATCCAAAAAAATCCTCGTGTTCTGGCCTGTGCAACGAATTAAAATTCCCCCGAATAAAACAATTAAGTGCGGGAAACAATGCAAGCCGTGACCGCGGCTTGCATTTTTTTGTATCAAGCAGCGAAGCGAAAGCTGGTGATGAGCCGCGGCCTCGCTGGACCAGCTCGTAATGATGACGTTTCATGCCGTGGATGATGTGCGGCGGAGCGGCAGTGGAACCCAGCCCTTAGGCAAAGGAAATTTGTCATGAATTTGTTTATGCTGCATAGATGGAGAGCTGCACACTCTGGCTTATGGACTCTCGCCTACAGTGTAGTCGTACTGCTAGTGTACTGGCATTACAGAAGACACGAAAAACGAGAACATAATTATGGCGAGAAAGTAATTACTGGGCAGTGGCTAAGAATTGCCCAAAGACTTACCGCTTCTCAGTGCTCCATACCAGGAAGTAGTACAATACCTACTCCCTGCTCCATACGAGTGTTTTCTCCTCATTCTCTGCATCCTTTGCCGCAGGAGTCTCGTCCATTTAGCGGCTCAAATGCTTGAGCTCCGGATAGCGGAAAATAGCTCGTCGTCCATTAGCGGCTCTAATAGTACCTGGTCTGAAGTGTCGCAGTCTAGCAACTATGATTTTTTCCAGGAGGGTAAGGGTTGCAAACCCAAAGAGACCCTAAGCTTCGTCTATCAAACAAAACAATTGCCCTAAAAAATGGAAGAGGAAAAGAGTGAGCGAGCTGGTCTGAGCGCGCTACTTTTCAAAAAATAGAAGCTGAAAGCCATGATCAAAGTCAAGTCAAAGCATTCTGGCTAGCGCGTTTGTGTATGTCACGAGCGCTAGCGCGCTAGTCGCAGCAAACGCTCGCAGGCCAGAGTTAGCGCTATTTGGGCTGTTTGCCGCACGCGGCAGCTGGATGGATCACGTGATCCAAGCTGACAAATAAGGTCCGATCAAGAGTCCATAACCCAAGAGTATGCAACTGTGATTATGGGTGCATGCGTGGCGCGCTGCCTTCATTACGTAACTTGCCTTCATCACGCTCTGAAAGCATGCATTCAAACTCTCAATTTCTCGCACGAGCCCATCCGTTTTTGCTCGATTCGTTCCAGTACCTACACAATCTCTGAATTCTGGCGCGTGAACTCCAGTTCCGTACGAAAGTTCATTTCAAACTAGAGGGAAAGTGTGGTGTTTGATTTTCCGCAGTGCGCGGACTGCAGCTGAATGATGTAATGAAGGCAGCGCGCCGCGCGGTTGGCCCATAGAAAAGAGATCACAGTTGCATACTCTTGGGTTATGGACTCTTGGTCCGATGGTTCAGCTACATTGAGCCACAAGCGTTTATCGAGCTCAAATATTTTCGTAGAGACTCCCGGGAACCTACTTTTGAATTTGAATCGGTGTAGCCTTGCCAACAGGTGACGTAAACAGGGAAAATCCCAGCCGTCGACATGCGCGTCGCGCTCTGAACGCACATTTCCCGGGACCAGAATTACGAGTGCGATAACTCAGCAACCGCTCTTCATATCGCTTTGCGAATTGTTCGAGGCGACAGCTGAGGCTTTTCTCTTCGACCTACATATTTCGATCACTCCAAAAGACCTAGATTTGAGCAAGTTACGATAATTTCAAAATGCCTACCCCATCGATCCCATTGGATCGATGCTTGTATGTACGGACAGTAAAGGGTTAATACGATACACTACATTGTATGTACTACTGCATGTGCTGCATTTTGTTTTGTTGAAAAACGGACACTGCTATTCAGAGGGCCACGGCGACTGATTCCAAATTCGGAGGTAGATGATCTGCCATCCACTGATCCAGAGAGCATTGGCAGTGAGCAGATAAGTTCAAGTGTCCACTGGTGACATGACTAGTAGAAAAATATCACCGGCCAAACACAGTGGACAACTGATTGCAATAATTATACACTAGACGTGAGCACCCCCCCCCCCCCCAGGGCCGGAGGCAGGTTCCGCGGAGCGGTATGCGGTGCGGCCGAAGGGCCATCTTTAAGGGGGGCCTGGGGTCCTCCCCCAGAATTTATTTAGACGGCAAATCCTGCACTCTGGGCGACTCCCTGTACAAAATCATACATCGAAACGTTTTCTCCCCGGCTTTGGACGTTCCACGTGGACCGACTTTTTGGGAAGTTGGTACGGCCATGGCCGTACCGGCCGTACCAGTGGCGCCGGCCCTGCCCCCCCCCCCCCCCTCCTTCCCTAATGCCCCTGTGGTGCGGGCCCGAAAGTGAAATGGGTGCATAGGCTACCAGATGGTGGCAGGGTGGTCACTGGACACGCTACGACGGTCACTACAGTGTTGACCCGGCATACCACACCGGCATACCACACCGGCATACCACTACGGCATACCACACCGGCATACCACTACGGCATACCACACCGGCATACCACTACGGCATACCACTACGGCATACCACACCGGCATACCACTACGGCATACCACACCGGCATACCACACCGGCATACCACACCGGCATACCACACCGGCATACCACTACGGCATACCACACCGGCATACCACACCGGCATACCACTACGGCATACCACACCGGCATACCACTACGGCATACCACACCGGCATACCACTACGGCATACCACACCGGCATACCACTACGGCATACCACTACGGCACTAGTAAATATCTGCCCCAGTTGCCCCACGCTGAATCAATATCCTGCGGATTTGGAGTCTAAATTTTACTATTCCAGCAGAGCCCCCCCCCCCCCCCCGTCCAGCTCGAGTATACCTCGGGCAGAAGATTGACTGTACCACCCTCAATGAAACCTTCCGATACCCCTCCCGTCCGCGGGCTCACGGGTGCATTACAGTGAGTTGAAGAAACATCCCTGCTGCACTGATTCACGTCAGCCGACAGGGACTGATACAGTCAACCTTGTGGATAACTCCGGCAGTGACCCGGCTCGGTGGTCGTGTATGAGAAATGTCTCACAGTGACAGTGTGTTGTCGGTATTGGCGTGAGCTTGAAAGCATCATTGCGGCAGTCAATGGTCACTAGGTCTAAAGCCGATTGTGTGGGTATTCGTGATTCTGTGCTATATCAAACAAGTTGTTATCATCACGAGGTTGACTGTAACTGCATGGCAAACACCCGGCTCTAGAAATGCACACTACGGCTCTACTTTCCAATGCAGTGGATTGGGGCCACAGGTACTAGGTCAGTAGGCATAGCGGAACCGCCCAACCGCCGACACCCCCTGAAATCCCCAAAACTCTGGGTGGACTTGAAAATGATTCCACTTATGGGCTCACCACACCCGAGTCGGTAAGAGGGTGAGGACAAGGTGCAGAAAAAGGATTGACGGCATCAGGGTATCCGTCCTGGGATCCAACAGTTACCCCTGCCCCCAGTGAAGGTAATACTTGCTACTAGTGTGCCGGTGGCTAAATCAGAGGGGATCTGATATAAGCTTCACTAGTACCCGGCATTGATTACACAAGAGTTACCTAGCCAGAAAGTCCATGGTTAACAGGTACGTATACTTCAAATACTTGAAGTAGAAAGTATATGAACCCGGGAACCAACAAAGGTGGCAGGTACAACATTACACCTTCAAGCAGCTGAGCCTTTTGGCAACAGACCCAACACAATCAGGCATACCGTATTTCCGCGCATATAAAGCCATGGCGTTATATCCGAATATAAGGCCACCCTCACTTATAAAGCCATGGCGTTATAAGTGAACAAAATTCAATGTGGAGGAAGTTGCATCCGGCGTTAAAGGGAAGTTCAATTCTTTCAGTGAACCTACAGTAGCGGTGATTCTCTCTACATGTACCCATCCCCACTGTCACATGCCATACCTCCACCGCACCTTCACACAAGTTTGTATGCCACCTTGTACACAATAGGTTCACAATTTGAAATGTTCAGGGGAAATTGAAAGTATATGGATGCTCGACATGAACGTGCAACGGCACCATACGAGTACTCGAAGTTCATACTCTGCCGATTTTTTTCATGTAAGCGTCTCTCACTTTTAGCGCCATGGCGTTAAAACCGAGGCTATTTTCTCCAAAAAAATGGTCCAAAACAGCGATGTTTCACCCATAACGCCATGGCTTTATATGCGCGGAAATACGGTAAGTGTACCCACCAACCAAACTAGCTGGCACCCCCCCCCCCCCCCCCCCCACACACACACGGCACACACACACACAGCACACAGCACACACAGCACAGCACACACACACACATACACCCCCCCCACACACACACACACGGCGCACCCCCCCCCCCCCACCCTCCCCCCCCCCCCCACACACACACATACACCCCCCCCCACACACACACACACGGCACACACACCGGCACATGCTTACACTGTGACAGTGCCGCATAGAGACTGATAAGACTGGTGAGAGCTAGGACCAAGCCCGGCCGTGATGAAGCTTCTAAATCTACTTTCTAATGAACTAAGCCACCGTGAGGGGGCAAAACTTTAGATCAGAATAATTTCTACTGTAGCCTATGGTCACTAAGGCTTTGGAACTACAATGTAGTGCTGAATATAGCCTCTCATATATTATTAAATTTCATTTTAAACTGGAATGGTTTCTAAAGAATTGGCTGCAGTGGAACCTAATGCATTCATTGAATAATGTGAAAACCAGATACTTTTACTTAGTGATGGAATGGTGGAATAGGACTTGAAATGATGAGGTAGATGGCTGGCAAACGGCTAGGAGCTTTACACATAAATACTGCCCTAAATTCAATGCAACTTGTCTGACCGCAATGATACCGATGGCTGTCAGAGCAAGTTGCCGGGCGGGCTAGAAGTTGAACTCATACGTTGGAGTGACACCGGGAAGTGGCTGGGTGGTGTAGATTTCAGCAACTCCTCGTAGCAAGTCATACACCACTGCAGAAAGGGAGAGAGAAGGAAGAGAGGAGAGAGAGAGAGAGAGAGAGTGAGAGAGTGAGTGAGAGAGAGAGAAAGAGAGAGAGAGAGAGAGAGAGAGAGAGAGAGAGAGAGAGAGAGAGAGAGAGAGAGAGAGAGAGAGAGAGAGAGAGAGAGAGAGAGAGAGAGAGAGAGAGAGAGAGAGAGAGAGAGAGAGAGAGAGAGAGAGAGAGAGAGAGAGAGAGAGAGAGAGAGAGAGGGAGAGAGAGATACAGGCAGAACTCAGTGTGACATGTGTAGACATCTATTCAGTCACTCACAAGACAGCCATTGTGCTAAACAGATCTTCTTTAGTTCTCTATCAGAAGTGCGCCATGTCATCTCTCTCGTGCTATACATAAAGCGGTACAAGCACGTGCATGCCTGCACGTGCGTACATAGTACTACATACAACTGCATGTACGATATCTACATTACCCCCCTTCCCTCAAAAAGAAAAAAAAAGAAGAAGGAGAAAAAAGGAAAACAAAAACAAAACAAAAACACATGCATCCGTATCCTGCAGCTTGCAGAGGAATGTACGTACATGTGTTGGAGTAAAAGAGAGACGGGAAGTGTTGCAACTATTAGAAATAATCTGACTCAAAACTTGAGGCAAAAACACCATGAGTTTGAGTTACAATGCAAACTCGACCAATAAGGGGAAAAAAATAAAGAAAAATCTAAATATTCACAAGGTAGTTAGAAGATTCTAAACAACGCCAATCTGGTAGCGATTGAAGCCACTCATTTGGTAATGCATGACTCGACGACTCAGATGTCAGCTTCACGTGCTTTCTCTGTAAGCTTGATCTGACGGCCAGCTCTGGTCTGTACGCCCTCGCGGAATACACTTGGACGAGATGTTGGCGGTGACAGTGACATACAGGCCGGTGTTGCAGGTGATGCTGTCGTCTCCGGTGAAGCTGCAGGAGACAACGGCAATGTGAGCGCAGTTACCGGAGCTTCGGGCCTGGATGTTGCGCTGCTCGCTGACGGAAGGCTTGTTGGGTCGGACACTGGCAGTGCTGGAGCACACACTGGCTCTGGCACATGCTCCCTCTCTGACTGTGCCAGAGGTTCACTCATGGGTGCTTTCTCCGCTGCTGCTGCTGCTGGTGCTACAAACTCGGTAACATGCTGACGGTTCCGGAGCAGTATGCGTGACCCATCAGTGACCCCAACCTGACGACCATACTGCTCTACTACCTTCCATTCTTTTCGAGGGTCGCTGTACCCATCATGGAGCACTACCCGCGTACCTGATGGCAAATGGGGTAACTTGCGGACACCTCGGCGCGAGTCATGACCTTCAACCATTGCTGCTTTCGCCTTGATCTGCTCAGATGGGTTGACGATCTGTGGGGTGATGGATGCTGGAACCCGTGTCCGAATGACTCTGCTGAACAACGCTTCGCTCGGCGATGTACCTAGCATCCGGTGCCGCGAATTGCGAATGTCGAACAAGACTTGAGTGATGCGGCGGTGTAGCGGTAGATGAGGTCTCAGGCTGGCAACTCGTTCTTTCACCAGACGATGTAGTCGCTCCACCATACCGTTAGAGCGGGCATACCGGGGGCTAGACTTGCAATGCTCAACACCCAACTGAGCGAGAAACTTGGACATCTCAGTGGATGCAAACTGTGGGCCCCAATCCGAGACGAGTGTTGAAGGCAGACCAAACCGTGCGAACAACTCCATCAGCTTGTCGATCACACCCGTTGTCGTAGTATTGGACAGTGGTAGAAGCTCTGGCCAGCGGGAACCATAATCAATAGCAGACAGGAACGTGGCTCCCTCAATGGTAACAAGGTCAATGGCCAGTTTCTGCCAGACACCTTCTATCTCTGTAGAGAGGAGCTGTTGCGCTGGATTGGAGCGTTTACGCCAGCATTCAGAGCATTTCTCTGCAAACAGATTGGCATCCTTCATGAGACCTGGCCACCAAACCCGTTCGCGAAGGGTATCCCGGAATGCATCGATGCCTGGATGACCTTCATGTGCTAGTCGCAGCACCGCTGGGCGGAGCTCTTCTGGAATGACGTAGCGATTGTCTAGCATGACAATCCCTTCAATGACTGTCAGCTGATGGCGTAGCAGGAAGTAAGGCTCTTCCGTTTGGATGCACCCTGACCAAACTGATGTGCCCACTCTTTGTCGGACGCTGCTCAGTGTCGGATCAGAGTCCGTGGCCTGGCGAATATCCTTGGAACGAACCGGACAAGCCTCGAGAATGAGACTAACGAATTCCGCCATTGAACGTGCCTCTGCAGGTGAAGCTGTGCGATCAGGTAGAGGAGCTCGAGAGAGAGTGTCAGCACAAACCATCTGCTGGCCAGGGACGAACACCAAGCTGTAGCGATAGGGCATCAATGCGACCAGCCATCTCTGAAGCCTCGGTGGCACTTCGTCGAACGGCTTCTGGACGATAGAAATAAGCGGCTTGTGATCCGTAAACACTTGCACTTCTCGGCCTAGTACATACTGCCGAAAGCGAGTCAGGCCGAATACCACTCCCAGCATCTCTCGTTCCAGCTGAGAATAGCGTGACTCAACATCTGATAGAGAGCGACTGGCACATGTCACTGGTACCCAACAGCCACTGGTATTCTTCTGCCACAGGACTGCTCCCAAACCGTCTGGCGATGCATCACAGCTGATAGCAGTAGGGACGTCCAATGCTGGTTGAAAGAATGCCAACGCTTGCAAAGCTGACGCTATACCAGCCTTTGCTGAGGTGAATGCCTGCAGGACTTCATCATCCACACTGAAGGGATCACGCTTTGCTAGCCTGCGCAGAGAAGCCGTGATCTGGGCCAAGTTCGGAATGAACTTTCCAAGGTACGTAGCCATCCCCAGGAACCGTCGCACATCAGAGATAGATTTCGGAGGGGCCAGCTCCTGGATGGCTTGTAACTTGTCATCATCTGGGGACAAGCCGGTCGCACTTAGCCAATGTCCCAGATACTTCACACGGTCCTGGTTCAGTCGGCACTTGGTCCAGTTGAGTTGGAGGTTAGCTGCTCGCAGTCGCTGCTTGACTGCTTCTAGCCGTGCATCGTGTTCTGCTTGATTGGAGCCAAACACTAGGATGTCGTCGATGTAGACGATGACTCCTGGCAGGCCTTCCAGAATGTCGGACACCACTCGCTGGAAAATCTCAGGCGCACATGCAATACCGAAAGGTAAACGCTTGAAACGGAACAGGCCACAGTGCGATGAGAAAGTCGTTAGAGGCCTTGCTTCTTCTGACAAGAGTAGCTGATGGAATCCAGATTCCGCATCCAGAACTGAGAAGACCCCTGCGCCATCAAGCTGAGCTGTGATCTCGTCAACGGTTGGAAGAACGTTGCGCTCACGTGTAACTCTCTTATTCAGTTCTCTGTAGTCCACGCATAGTCGCAATGCTCCATTCGGTTTGCGGACTGGAACAAGTGGTGACACCCACGGCGTGGCTTCCTTGACGGGTTCAATGATATCCAACTTGGTCAGCCGTTTCAGCTCGGTCTCGATGTCAGCCCGGATACTGAAAGCTGGGCGTCGTGGTGGCTGGGCTAGAGGCTTTGAACCGTCTTCCAGAGAGATTTCGATGGGTGACACGTTCACCACGTTTGCTTGTGACAGGAGGTTCAGCTCCTTGATGACATCCTGTCCGAAGAGAACGGAGTGCTGACTGGCTGCTACCACGAAACAACTGCACTTCACGTTCTTGCCACCATGTGAAATGTGGACGTCAGCCATGCCCAAAGTCTCTACGACACCGCCATTGTACGCTTTCAGCAAGCGGTCACTCTTGCGCGTGGGCTTGATCACATCATCAGTGAGGATCGTCCGAGTTGCACCTGTGTCTAACAGTCCAGTGCACAGCTCACCATTGACTTTGAGTGTAGTCTGGAATGTCTTGTCGCCTGCGAGTGCCGAGCTACTGACGGCGAAAGCGGAGTCGTACATGCGACTTGCATGCTCATACTCATCAGGCTCATCCTCTACTGGCCGGGCTCTTTCTTCGTGTCTTTCCACTTTGTTTGACATGCAGACCGCTGCAAAATGCCCTCGCTTGCCACACTTGTTGCAGGTGACGTTGGCCGCAGGACAGTTACGCATGCCTGGTTTGTGACTACGTCCGCAGTATTTGCACTTCTTTCCCTCTGATCCAGAACCAGCTGCAGAGACAGCTTGCACACGCTGGATGGGCACGGGGAACACAGGCGGTGCGTCACTAGCTCTGGTACTATCGTACAGTTTACTGTCAGTAATCGACGCTTCCAACGCCACTGACTTGGTGACGGCGTCGTTCAGGGTCAGCTTCGACTGTTTCAGCAGCTCCTTTCGAAGCTCAACAGAACGCAGGCCCACGATCAGCTGGTCTCGAATTTGGCAGTTGACAATGGTATCCACAGAAGTGGAGCTGAATTCGCAAACATCTGCCTTTTCTCTCAGCCGCCCAACGAACGAAGTCACCGACTCGCCCTCCATTTGGCGGAGTTGGCGGAATTTGTGACGTTCAGACGTGACATTTGTTGACGGTCGAAAGTGTGCCAACAATGCGTCCGTCAAGGCTTGGTACTCATCTCCAGGTGAGCCATCTTGTGTCTGCTCCACCGTGACAACCAGACCTTTCACAATGCGCCTCACTGCTAATCCAGCCAGATTCAAGAACAAGCGTTTCTTGTCAGCTGCTGCCGTCACTTCACTGATTGAAAGGAAATCATTTATGTCCTCGAGCCAGAGTTCAAAATCAGCACCGACGTTGCTCGCAGCATAGTCAGGAATAAATTCCTTGGGCGTCCTGCCCTTAGTCATTTTCGTTCACTGCGCCAATGTAGACATCTATTCAGTCACTCACAAGACAGCCATTGTGCTAAACAGATCTTCTTTAGTTCTCTATCAGAAGTGCGCCATGTCATCTCTCTCGTGCTATACATAAAGCGGTACAAGCACGTGCATGCCTGCACGTGCGTACATAGTACTACATACAACTGCATGTACGATATCTACAACATGCACACACATGCATGTGCACCCACAGATTTTCTCTTCATAGCAACGATAGCGGATCTGATTCTGAATGAAACAGACTAAGACAAGCGCCAGATATCTGTCTAGTCCACCCTATTGGCGAAGCCATGTGAATCGACACCTCACACCTCATCAGCGCGTGTAATTTACATGCCAAGTGTGACCTTCGTACACGAAGGTTCTCACACCGTACAAACTTAGTAGCACTCTTCCATACGATTTTCTTCCCTTGGCTGTAAAATCAACGTGGGGCGCTCTCGCGAGACGGGGCGTTCTGGCGGTACTTTACGGTACATACATACATACACACACAAACACAAAGGAGCATGCAAAAACGTACCTGTTGCTATGGTGGACAGTACATCGGGTGAAGCGCCATTTCGGTACATCGGGTACTCCGTGTCGGATGTGTCGGAAAGTATGTTGAGTGCAGAGCTGCTATCGGTGGGACCTTCCAGAGTAGCCAGTGCTCTTGTGCGATGCACTGAACTCATGTGTACGTACTGGGGTTCTGGTGTATGCACAAACCTGTATACACCTCCGAATATACACACGCGCACGCACGCACACACACGCACACACATACACACACACACATACACACGCACGCACACACACACACATAGACCAGAGCAGTGATCAGATATATTTAACCAAAATTTTTTTTTTTTAAAAAGAAGGAAAATGGCAGAGCATAGGAGGGCAGAATCGAGTTTGGAGTGTTCTCATCTTCCCGTCTGAACAAACACACGCTGGTCTCTCCACTGAAACCCTGATGACGGGCCAGGCCCGAAACTTGGTGTCGGAAGCGGAGTAGCAGATCATGACAACGTTAAGATTGTGTTCAGACGGAGTAAGGAACAAAAAACGAATGTGGTGAAGTTTGCAAGCTGTAGGAGAAACACTAGCCTCGCTTTTAAAGCCTAATTAAATTGATTTCAACCATGAAAAATTGTCAATGCTTGCACCAGCAGGCCGGCTAGTGGATCCATAAAACGACCAGCGTGAATACGACTGACTGAGAAGTAACCAACTGGCATCATTCACTCACTCGTGTTCTGACATCAATAAAAAAGAAAACACCTGACCTGCACTGCTGGCTACTGTTGATTCCCCTGAACTAAACTGCTGGCTAGCATTGATTCACGTGAACTAAACTGCTCGCTAGTGCTATTCATCTGAACTGCACTAGTACAATTCACCATGGCATGAGTAAAATAGTACTCTGTGTGTGCTGCATAGCGGGTGAGCCCGCTTGGCAATGAATCTATGAACAGGCGGACTCCACTGGTCAGCAAATTACTTCGAAGCAGTGATTGTGGCAGAACAAGAATCCTGGAGAATCTAATCGTCAGGCACACACAGAGTGTTACACATTATACCGATCACAGCGACACATTTCACACTCACATGTTGAAATGATGCAAGAAGCCATTCTCTGTTGTCGTTTTAGAAATGCCACGCGTGGACAGTTCAATGTTCATAACCTTGGCATTCACACGGTCGCCAATGTTCAGGCTGAACGATGACACGGACTGCCAAATTGGTGACTTGTACTGCAACATGCACACACGCACAAGGGCACACACGCACAAGGGCACACACGCACAAGGGCACACACGCACAAGGGCACACACGCATATGTACACGTGCACGACCATGAACACATACACATTCAAGCGGCATGTATACAGGCACATATGCACACATGTGCACAAGGACAGATACACATGCAGACACATAGAAGATTAGGAGAGGGTAACATTGACAAATTGACATTCTCGCACAGCCGAATGATGGCTTCTTGTCCAGCAACACCACCCCCCCCCCCCCCCACAAACGCACACACGCACACACGCACACACACACACACACACACACACACACACACACACACACACACACACACACCTTGAACCTTGAATGCCCATTGCCGTAGCAATGATAGCAATCGCTTCCTCACACTGAGGCTCTAAACCCGAAATCTGCAGTATGGCGCATGCCGCTTGAGGTCACCAGGACGACGGAACACTCTGTCACAGTGGTAGTTGGGGCACGGGATGTCTGGGGCTTCCTTCTCGACCCTCTATCGACAACACTGAAACCAGGCGGATCTCTCCTGCGCTATGTCATACCAGTCCGCTTCAGACAAACCGATGACCAAGGGTTCAGTAGTGGATGATTGGCGGAATGCGGTGGTGGTCCCTGTCCGCAAGAAAGGTGACCTTCGCTGCTGCGATAACTGGAGGGGCATTAGCTTGCTGGATGTCGCTGGAAAGGTGTTTGCCCGGGTTATGCAGGATCGTTTGCAGGTTGTGGCTGAGGAAATTCTCCCGGGTTCTCAGTGCGGTTTTCGGCGAGGTCGAGGTTGCACGGACATGATCTTCTGTGCACGTCAACTAGTGGAGAAGACTATTGAACACAACACCTCTCTTTACGTCTTGTTTGTACTAGATCTCCAGAAGGCGTACGACTCCATCCCCGCACAGTGCTCTGGAGTGTGCTGGATGGGCTGGGTGTTCCGCCGGTTATGTTGGGACTCATCAAGTCCCTTCATGAGGGTATGATTGCGAAGGTGCGAGTCAACGGTAAGCTTTCCGACAACATCTCTGTGACTAATGGGCTGCGTCAAGGATGTACCCTAGCACCCACCCTCTTCAACCTATATTTCAGTGTGGTTGGTCAAACTGTGAGCAATGGGAGGAGAGATTGTCGTCGGCATCGCTGAGTGAGCTGGCAGGAGTGGACGTCGACAAACTGCAGCACGATAGCCCGGTCCAGCGGTGCCACCGACGACTGGCGCGCACGTTGTCCAGGCGCTGGAGTTGACCTGCTGTTCAGAAACGGTCGCAAGCTGGTTGGGGACCGCACGGCGAAGTCCCGGTTATCCGCGACGAGGGTGACTGAGTCCCAGTTCGCCGATGATACAGCGTTGTATGCAACCATCAGAGAGAGATTTGAGTGCATGACGTCCGAGTTCATCTTGTGTGCACAGCGATGGGGATTGACCGTCAGCATTAGAAAGATGAAGGGGTTGGCGGTGGGTCCACCAACATCAGTTGATCCCGTTCAACTCGGTGGTGACAGCAGGATTGACATGGTGGACGGGTTCTGGTACCTTGGCAGCGTGCTCTCTGCTGACGGAACGGTGGATGCGGACCTCGCTGCTCGTTTGGCGCAGGCGGCTGGTGTATCGTGCTATTGTCCTTCCTGCTCTTCTCTACGGTACGGAGACATGGCCCATCAAAGCGGGTCATTTTCGCCGACTCAACACCTTTCATCATCAGTGTATTCGCACAATTCTCGGTATCTCTCGTCGTGAGCAATGGGAGGAGAGATTGTCGTCGGCATCGCTGAGTGAGCTGGCAGGAGTGGACGTCGACAGACAGACAGACACGCACACACACACACACACACACACACACACACACACACACACACACACACACACACACATACACACACACACACACACACACACAAACAAACACAGACCCCACACACCCACACCCACATCCAGTCATTTTAGCATGCATTCTTGTCGGAATGGATTCCTCTCGACATGCCTCTCTCTTTTTCTGGTGTTTACCCAGTACACTCATACTGGTAATATCTTCTCTCTTATCTGGGTGGTCCAGGACGGGGCACCGCCCATAACTTTGAAATACTGTAAAACATGTAGTTTTAGGTGCATTAAAAGTTCGGTACCAGGGACCTGCCAGGTTTCAGGTGTAATGTAGAATTAGGTGACCATTGGTAATATTTCCCCTCCAACTGACGCACAGGATGTCCGGTAGACCGAGGCGCCCGTAACTTTGAGGTCCGGATAAGAGAGGGTATGAGTGTAA